GCTGGCGAGGTGGACGACGAGATGGAGTAAAGACCGTTATGGCAGGGACCCCGTAGTAGAACACGTTTGGTCGTCGAATCCTGGATCACATAGCCTTGTGAGGAAAAAGAAACTATACAGGCATTATCCCGAGTTAGCTGGTACACGGAGAGGAGATTAAAAGATAGGTTGGGAACGTGGTGAAGGTTGTTAAGTTGTAAGCTACCTGATGGAGTGGGGAGAATGCCAGTACCGGTATTACGAATTGAGAGATTCTGTCCATTACCGAGAGTGACTTGGGAGTTGCCGCGATAAGGTTCGGTAGTGGAAAATTGTGAGGCGTCCGAAGTTAAGTGTGTGGATGCGCCGCTGTCCAAGAACCATTCAGATTGGCGAGAACCGTCAGTGGAGCTGAACAGGGCGGGACGATTAGTAGGTTCTTGATATGTTGTATCATGGCGATACCAGCATTTCACCGCCGAGTGTCCTTGTTCGGCGCAGATTTGACAAACGACGTTGCGGTTGGCTTGTCTTTCAGGACGGCTGGGGGCAGAATTGGAGTTGGTGTTATTTGGGGTGCGATTTGTGTGACGACTGCCGTGAGAGTAGTGACCGCGACCTCGCCCTCGGCCACGGGCAGCGGCTAAAGCAGTGGGATTATCGGTAAGTTGCAGCTGCTGCATAGCTTTAGATGCCTCTTGGGCGAGATTGACTTCCTCGCTACAAAGAAGAGTGTAGAGGTCATCAAGGGTGATGGGTTGGAGGTTGGTACGGATTGCGGTTTTGAAGGCTTGGTAGGTTGCGGGGAGGCCGTTTAGAGTGTAAAGAATCACGTCTTCAGGATCAAGAGTGCTGCCGGCGGCGGAGATGGCATCGACTTTCGACTTCACGGTGAGAAGATATTGAGACATAGTTTGATCGCCTTTGGTGAGATTGTGTAGTTCATTCTTTAACTGAATGATGCGAGAACGATTTGAGGCTTGGAGGCGATGGGTTAAGGTGGCCCAAATGTCTGCGCAGTGAGTTAAGGAAAGAACATACGGTAGGATGGACGGGGTGATTATGGAGAAAAGGGCGGCGGCAAGATTTTGGTCGAGAAGTTGCCAGGCTTCGCGGGAAGAGACGGTCGACGTTTCTTGCGGTAGCTTTGGGAAAGATCCGTCAAGAAATCCTTGGAATCCGTTGGCAGCAAAGATTTTCTCGACTTGGGAGCGCCACAGCGGGTAGTTTTCGGAGGTGAGAGGGTTGGCGACGAGATTTTTGATATTGCTGAGAACGAATTTTAGCTGGGGAGGTATGGTTATTACGGGCGGTGATTGATGTATGGTGGTAGATGAGGTGGAGGTGGAGGAGTCGGCCATGAGCAAGAAGAAAGATAGAACTCGAGAGAGAAAAAAGGAAAGAAGGAAACGAGACTTATCTGTGCTCTGATACCATGTTAGCTTTCTTCCTCAGACACATCGCAGAGAGAGCAGTTGAGAAAAGTAAAACTATTCTTTGTTATACAATCCGGACGAGATACAGATACATATATATAAAGAAAACGACAATACTTGCTAGTTCTGAGGTACAGATTAGTAAAACTAATCCGGTTTAGATGCCGGTTTAGATGACTGGTTTAACACTTATCATCCAAGCAATTCATTTTCAGGCATTTTTAAGAGCAATCTGCAGAACCTACAGTATAGTTCACCCTTTTTTCTTCTTAATCAATGTCTGATCACATGTTCAATAAAGCTTGATATAGAAAGATTTGAAAAAGTAGAAATCAACTTTAGCTCTATTGACTTCCATTTTAATAATCAGGTTGAACAGAGACTCTATTTCGCTGAGAGCTAAATGAATTTGAACGGTTATCTATTTCGCTGAGAGCTCAATGAATTTGAACGGTTACCTAACCAAAAAAACATATCTGCACAAATTGCCATAATTGCATCAATACTATCAATTAAAGTTCTAATTTTACCGTTTCTACAGTGAATGGAAGTGCTGGAGACTCCTCGTATTCGGCTGCATCCAAATCTGTAAGGTGTGCTCCTTTAAAGAGCTTAGGAAGAAGATATTGTCTTGCAGGAACCAAAAGCATGATCATAAGTGGAAAAAGAACTCCAGCAATAGGTATCCAAGTAATGCCGAAGCACACAAGTAGGTAAACAGTCTGGAAGAGTGTGAAGAAAGCAATTGTCTTGAAAGGAACGGTTTCCACAAAGGTTGCATGGTAATCTTCAAGCACTCTGAAAAAACAGTTTTAAGTTGTTCTTCAGTCTTGGCACAGGCTAAGGCTTCGTTTGGGACGGCTTTTTTACTGCTTCTTAAAGCAGCTTTCTAATATAAAAATTTTAATTTTTGTACTGAAAAGCTGTTTTAAGAAATAGGAAGAAAGCCGTCCCAAAGGAAGTCTAAATCTAACTTGTGAAAAGAAAAGTGAGAAAGATTTACTTATATCTTCTGCTTGGTGCAGTAAATAGAAGGAGTATCCTCTCCCAGAATTGGTTACCAGGCAAGCTCTCTATAGCCATAAAAGCAAAATAACCCCAAAGTACAGAAGTTGGAATCTTTCTCAGAATTGGCATTGCAGCCAGGCAGCATCCTACCATAGAAGACTGCAACAAGTTACTGAGTCTTTGCTCTTTAACCTCCACAGGTAATAGATCATCAATCTCTTTATCAATGTCAAACATCGTTTCATCCACAGGAGCATCTATGCTTCCCAATCTTGAAACCATTTGGATGGTAGATTCCTTTAGTTCCTTCAATCCCTGTATGAACAGTTTTCATTTCTATTAAAAAAAAATAATATTTGAATGATATTTTAAATTTCATATTTCATTAACTCAAAATAAATTATAAAATTTTCCAATTTAAATGCATATAACTATCATACCCGAACAGACTGCTCTTGGTAGATCAGAGGGGTCTGCATTTGCTGATATACTTCTTCCATGTTACCATACAATTGGCTTAAGCTTGAATTCTGGTTCATGCTTTGTCGCGCACTGGCTACTAGTTGGTTTCGGAGCAGCTGAAGAACAAAAGAATGTAAATACATATTCGACCGAGGAATTGAGCAAGCATATAACATGGTGGCTTACTTGATGCTTGAGAGTAGCTAAACTCTTAGTATGCATAGGAGATTGTGGTATAACACCATTTGAAGGGGGTATGCCGAGGAGACCACATAGTAAAGTCTACAAAAATACAGTGAACAGTTTACATTAGTGTCTGCTAAGTTAATTTGACACATGGTTTTAGAACAAAACAGGCGATTAAAGAGGTTTGTATAAGCTAAAGAAAAAAAAGAGGGAATTGAAGGTGGTGGAATTAGAATGTACCAAAAAACCCAAAAGAAGTAAATCATAGTGAAATGACGGTGGCTTTCTCAAATTGAATTCTTTTTGCTGTGCAAGCTGAGATGCCACACTGTGATCAAAATAATAAAGGACTGCTATCATGGTAGCTGGTATAAATGCTCCAAGTATATAGAGCACCGGCATGTCTGTCATTTCCTGTTTGGTTGAAGAGTGTCACATGTTAGTCCTCTAAGAACATCAGATAAACAAGCAAGAATTGATTGCAGTTTCTTCTGGTTTTGGAACAATGGTTCATGAAAATGTTTATAAGAGTTTAATTTTGAGAATTAGGCGAAACACAATTCAAATCACCAAGAGAGAATAAAACAAAACCAAGATCAATGCACAAAACATATCAAAATTTTTATTAAGGTACATCTAATTAATTACTACATCATATTACCGTCGCTACAATTTTCATTATCGTTTTGTTTATAGAGTTTTTTTAGCCCTTATCTCTAATAATCACAAAAAGATAAGTAAAATGAAAAATACAATGAAGCCCGTAAAACAAACTTATAAAAATAATTTGCAAAATATTGAATACTTTTTAGGGGCTCCCTGCCGCTTCTAATCCCCACGACAATCTTATGGTGAAGGTTGATTTTCAACTGAGTTTATATAAGACGTTTCTTCATTGGGTATTGATTAGGCTCCACATCTTATAATAGAAAAAGTACTAGCTTTGTAATGCCTAAAGTATAAGAGTCGTACCTTAATAACAGTCCAATTTGCATATGCAGTAGGTGACCAAGGATTTGGGCTGAAGAGGCGTCTTGGTATTCCTTTGGGGATACTACCAGAAGGTATAAAAGAAACTGCAGTCCATATCAAAACCATCAAAGGCACACCATAGTCTGCAATGAAACCTCTCAACCACCCTGCAGTAATAATTTGTTTAGCCTTGCGTGAATCTTCCAAATTAAAAAAACCCAATAACAAAAGATGATCATCACTAGAAGACAAATATATGCATTCAAAATTTGCATTAAGCTATTTTAATCTGTTGAATTTATCATTTTTTTTATTTATGAGGACATACCACATCCATATCTCCAAGACCTTGCCTTTCTACTTCTCAAAGCAGTAAGTAGAAGACCAAATGATAGAACAAGAGCAAACATTCCATTGCCAAATCTCCAAGATGGAATGAATTCCAGTGCCTTCCGATCTTCCCTTTCAGGTATGCGAAACTCGTCCACAAGCCCCTAGAAGATATACACATCAAATCTTCAATGTATTTCCATTATGATTTCAATCATTTCAACATGAATTTTTTGTTAAGATAGCTCCAATTGAACTCCACTGAAAAGGTTAGTTTTTCAGGTAAGATATTGATGCCCATTTTGGATAACTTACTCTCATGTCCATGAGTTTTATAAGGTCCCTTACTTAAAAGGTTCATAAGTTTGGCATTGTGACTTACAGGTTCCAGAAATTAGGCTGGATTCTCAAATAAGGTCATAAAAATTAATTTTACCATCATAAGATGTTGAAAAAAGAAGCTTACACCTTCCTTAGTGCAATCCAAGAAATTCAAAGTAAGGATTAGAAGAATCAGCAAGAATATTCAGGTAAAACTTAAAAACATATCTATCCATGGCAGAAAGAATTTTCTAACTATTATCAAGTTCTTCCAAGAGTCATCAATGTAAATTTCTTTATATAGGAACTCAAAATACCAGAATTCAAGGTTGTTAACCCTTAAGGCAATTCAACCTCAGTAAGAAATTGTTTTTCTTTTTGTAACACCAAATGAAATTTAAAAAGAAATGCTCCAAAAAATTCTTTATATATTCTAATGATTAAATTATAACTTTTTAGCTTAATAACTTAAAGATAATTGGAACTATTAAATAAAGAATATCCTGATGTATGCAGTATTATAGAGTATTGAATTCAATGAACTTAACCACACCAGTTATAGCCTAGCACCGCAACTTAAAAAAGCAAAAAATAAATAAAAGACAAAAGATATTTCACTACTTACTTTAATGGCCTGTTGCATAAATAGCATCGCTATCAGCATACCAAATAGTTCACCGGCCACTCTAGTAAATCTATTTATAATTGAGCATGCGCCAAGAATAGCCAGTAAGAACAGCAGGAAAGAAGTCCACACGCACACCCTGAAAGTGTAAAATGAAGACAAATCATAGATAATCTTGAAGATAATGATATAAATTACTATTGATGTAACCACTATTTTACATAAAATATTTATCTTATCTGATAGCTTACCATCCAGTCCAGGCTAGAAACAACTTTCTACCTAAATCTTCTCTATCTTTCACAAAATTAAACATGAATGTGTACATGAGTACTGTGGGCTCTGCAACTCCAAGAACCAGCAATGGCTGCCCTCCAACAATTGAGTGTATTATCCCACAAATTGCAGTAGATGCTAGAGTTTGCACAGCTGTAATTACACCATCTGCCCTTAAATCAAGTTTTAATTGAATTAGAATCACTTTCCACAAACTAAAACAAGCATAAACAATAAAAAAATTAGTCAGTGGTAGAACTAACATGCCAAATAAAGGGATAAAACGGATTAACCGCGGTTGGATTTCAATTTTTTATAATATATATATATATATATATATATATATATTGTGTAGAATTTAAAAGTAGAACTTCTTATGCTAGATTTTGCACACTGTAATTACAAAATCTGCCCTTAAAACAGGTTTGAATTGAATTAGTCACCACTTTCCACAAACTAAACCAAGCATATGGAATATATATATTCATAGGAAATTCCAATATGTAATCTGGTCAGTGACTTCAAATCAAAAGCGGAAAAAAGGCTTAACCCAAACTTGGGGAGTAAAATTTCTATAATACATATAATTGCAGGAAAATTTAAGGGAATATTCCTATATATTTACCAGTATTTCTTTCCAGTTGCTCTCCAAATGATATAACAGGGATTGCTGAGGCAAAGAATATGTAGGTTGTCGGGGCCAGAATACTATCAACCATAAAGGAAAAGGAGAAAAAACAAATGAGAAAAATAGCATAAAATTTCAGATTTAAAAGAAAAAACTTGTAAGAATTTCAACAGTACCTAAAGCCTGAACGAAATCCTCCAGTCCAGTCTTGCTTGTAGCACAAAAATCTTCCTTTTAGGTCATTTTTTATTCCTCTAAAAGGCACAAATGTCTCCTCCATGTTTCCTTTGATCACTCAAGAAAACAACTTCTCTAAATCGATGAACTCAAATATTCAAATAAAAATACAGATTACATAATCTGCCCTTTGTTCCAACTAGGCCAATGCAAATGCCCTGTTCTCTTAAAATCGAAAAAGAACCAAACTTCTCAACAGAAGTTGGGATTTGGAAGAGAGATCACAAGCAGAAAAAAATCAATCTTTATCGACCAAGATAAATCATCGAGGAACCAAAACGCACAAGCCAGAGGAGAGCGCTGAAACAAAATCTAAAATGGGCAAGTGAAATAGATCTCCAAGCCCAGGCCACTAAAGTATTCCGCTCGCATTGAAGCTGCAAAGGCAAGGAGAGTAGAGTTGGAAAACTCAGGCAAGAAAGCCTCGATGAGGATGGCTGCATATATATAAGCAGTCGGTGTAATAAAAAAAAAATTATATTTAATATTTTATTAGGAGATAAGCGAATTTAATTGCAATTATTAAAAATTAATTGTTTCTATATTTAAACTTTGATTTTCCGTTGAAAGTCAAAAGTTTTGATCAAGCGATCACAGTAATTTATACTAATATAATATATATGGTTAACGGGTCTGGTTGATATCCGGTCTAAAATTGAATTGATCTGAATCCAATCAAATTGGAGTGACCCTTGTTTAAGAAACGGATAAAAAATATAGGTCCGAACTCGGCTCACTAGTAATCTGAATAATGTGTTTTGTTTTTTATATATTTTTATAAAATTTTATCAATAGATTTTAAATTAATTAATATAAAATAAGTCAGTCATACTAATAAATAAAAAAATAAAAAATAAATTGGCCATTTCAGATTAAAATCGAGTTGGGGAGTTAACCCGAACATTACTTGTTTAATAAAAGAATAAAAAAATTGAGCCTGAACCTGACCAGTTTATTAAACTGGTCGACCCGAACCATGGGTTGGATCATTTTTTAACACACCGACTAATATATTTAAATTTTATCTTAAAATTTAAGAGTAAGAAATTGATATATTTTAATTTGAAGTAAGTCTTTAGACATATTTATTGAAAATAAAAATTAGATTTATTTCATTATTTTTGACCACTATAAGGCATATAAAGTCATTTTTTTTTAATGTTTTTTAGTAGTTGAATGAATGAATCATATTATCTTAGGTAAAAATTTTAAACCCAACACTGTTCATTAAGAAATTATTTGATAGAACAGCTTTTTTCTCAAAATTCAACCTAAAAAGGTAATTGGATGCCCATATGATTTTTTGGGTACTTTTGAGCGAATTACGCACAACATATATGCATACTTCGAACACAAGACATATTGATTGACAACCTAAGCGCTCGACCAACAGATCAAGATGAGATTTCCGTATAACTATCTTGTTACTTATTAAATGGGCTACCAGTGTTAAATATTATTCTACAAATGGCAAGAAGTATTGGATGTGTGAGTTATGCTGGGTTAGGTTGCATGCTACCTTCTAAATTAATTTCAACAAATATGTTTTCTTTATAAATCCCCCTATCACCTCCATCTACCTCCTCTCCTCTTCTACACATTGACTTCATTTTCCAAGCAAACTCCTTAACACTTTTCTTTTTCACGTGTTTTTCTACCTTCAAGCAATCACTTAGTTTTTGGATATAAGGTTATCTTGTTGAGATTTTGTGTCCAACTTTGTGAAAGTAAAGACTTAGGCTTCATTTGGGACAGTTTTTTTACTGCTTTTTAAAGCGATTTTCTAGTAAAAGTTAAAAATTTTATACAAGAAAGCTGCTTTAAGAAGCAATAAAAAAGCCGTTTAAGGCTTCGTTTGGGATGCCTTTCTTAATGCTTCATAAAACAACTTTTTAGTACACAAATTTCTAGTTCAAAAAATTTTTTTATTAGAAAGTTGCTTTAAAAAGCAATAAAAAGGCGTCTCAAACAAAACCACAAAAGTTGTATTTCGACTTTGTTTGGAATAGCTTTCTTACTGCTTTCTAAAGTGGCTTGTTAGTACAAAAATTTATTGAACTAGAAATTTTTGTACTAAAAAAATGTTTTAGAAAACAGAAAGAAAATTGTCACAAATAAAGACTTTATTTCATAGTATTTTTAGAAAATTGTTGTTAGTTTGTTTAAATTTGATTTGAACTTTTAGTTTTTATTTGCTTAATATTTTTTAGCAAATATTTTAAATCTTTATTGCCAAAACAAAAGTAATGTTTTGAGAGGGTTTATTTTATTTGTGTGTGAATGGAGAGTTAAAATTTGTTCGTGTAATTAGAAAGTCAAGAATACTAAATTAAAGATTAATTACTGTATTGGTTTATAGAGATTAAAATGATTAGGCCCAAATTTCTAAATTACAAAGCAATCCTTAATTTGGTATTTCATTTTGCTATTGTTGGAGGTTTTGTTTCATCATCGTCGCTTGTGATGATATCTATGAAGGCATATTGCCGAATGCTGATATCATATGTTGATGTCTTGGGATGAAAAATATAAGGTAATAAAGGCAATATTAGGTAGCTGGGGGAATCCTACAATTCAATCAACATATTTATGAAGGACATGAGGTTTTGTCATGAATGGATCAATTTATAGGATACAATAGAGTGGACTGAACCTATTTTAATGGATTCTTTTGGGCATTTGGACCTTCAATTATAGCCTAATTTTTTTTTGCCAAATTTTAAGCATGGATGGAACAATCATGCTGTTTAAGTGCAAACACATTTTATTATTATGGGAATTAATGCTAACAATGGTCTATTTTTCTTAATATTCATGGGTATCGAATTAGAGTGTAATAAGTCATGGATTTGGTTTCTCCTTTCTCTTCATAATTTGATTTTGATGGTTTCATTAAGAAAATATTTATATATAGCTCTAGATAAGGATGGAGATTTAATTTGTGGTTATAGAGAAATATTCTTAAGGGCAACGTATTTCCATTACTTATGACACTTGAGAATAGGAAGATGATATGAATGATAGGAATATCATATTTAGAATTCCTCTTTCAGATGATGTACATTACAATTAACAGTGATGATATTCAAAAATTAAACAGAGGTATGAAATAAAAAAAAATATTAAGGAAGAACTACATCAATGATTAGTTGAGTAGAATGTTACAAAGTGGTCACTAATGCATGATGTTTGTTGTAGATACAATGCAATGACTATGAATTCTTTAGAATATTTTAATAGACTATTGAGGCATGCATGAGGCCAACATGTACATGCACTTTTATGTTCTTCTTACTATAATATTGTGATCCTTTTTTGAAATGAATGAATATGTTTGTCTCAGAAGAATAAAAATAAGATCATATTTATCCAGTATACAAAGAGCACATTACAAAGATATGAACATGAAGCATGATGATTTTCCAAACACACAAAAATAAATACCTAGGAGTTATATGAGTTCAAGATGACTTGTAGGTCTATTGAAGCCAACTATTGGGTGATGGGAAATGTTAGTAGAGCTACTAATTAAAAACATACCGCATATCATGTATGCACATAATTATAGCCTCAGGGTAGACATGACATAACCACCAATTATATATTTCAAACTACTATACTTTTGAATCATTATAAGCTAATCAATGAACCAAAATTACATGTTAGGCCTAAGCTAATAAATGGCCATGATATGATGGAGAACACATTATTCTTGAGTTGGACGTAGAAAACTATAAAAATGTTGTTGCAAACCTATTTTTTATGTCTTATATTTTGATGATTGACAAACACTATGTCTCTTGGACTACTTGTTGCTTCTAACTTTTTAGGAATCGGAGATCGGACGATCAAGAAGGAGCCAAGTTCAGGATTGCGTAGGTTTAGGGTTGAGTCAGTCTGTACTTTTGATTTTCACCTTTTTGAGTCTACTTGTAATGGTCAAAGAGACTGATGCTAAGTAACCCTACACACACACACACACTTGAGGGGCTTAGAATTTCTGTTTTTGCCCACATCGGCCCGGCCGATATTTATATCGTCCGGGACGATCAGCTTAAAACAGAAAGTCTAAGTAAGGATTGTTAATTAAGACAGCCGTCATTAATATATCAGCCTGGACGATACGTGTATCGGCCAGGACGATAAGCTCAAAATAGAAAGAAGTAGCCGCCATAGACAGTTAAGGTATACTGTATTTTTTAAATTATCGGCCAGGACGATCAAAGGATCGACCTGGACAAAATTACCAAATTATGCCTTAATTGATCAGGAAATCAAGGGAGTAATTAAGGATGATTGATACGATCATATCGTCCTGGACGATCGCAGGATCGGCCAGGACGATCTAGTCAAAAACCTTAAGTTATTTCAGGACGATAAATATCGGCCAGCTCAAAAACAGGGCGATGCTCAGGACGATTTGCCTCTGATTTGAACTGATCGGCCAGGACGATCGTGATATCGGCCGGGATGATCAAGCCAAATTTCAATCGTCCAGGAGTGTATCCAGGGCAATGCTCTGGCCGATCCTCTAAATTTTTGTACTGATCGGCCAGGCCGATGTCCATAATCGGCCTGGACGATAAAGTCGGCTACTTGCAATTAATGATCTCCTTTGAGCTCTTCTATTAAGAGCTCTTGTTCAACATTTTTCAAGACCTTTGGCTGCTGCCTTGACCTGAGAAGACTTGAGGAGAGAAAGAGGAGAGGAGAGAGAGAGGATCTTGTGATGGGGAGCTTGTGAGGGTATTCACAAGGGTTGCTCAAAGATCGCTCTACTTCGTCTTCGTCTGAGTTCTCGTTGTGGAAGGGTCGGTAGAGGTAAGGAGTTTGTTTTTTGGTTTTGGTTCTCTGCCAGCTTCAAAAGGAAGCAAAAGGAGGTGGTTCTCTCGCCTTGCCGGGGTGGCAAAAAGGAGGTCTTGTGTAGGGTTCTGCCGCCTAGCCGTGGGGGCTAAAGGAGAGTCACGTTTTGTAGTGCAATACTTGGAGGGTGCCTCCAAGAAGTGGACGTAGGTCGAGTCGACCGAACCACTATAAATTTCTGTGTTCTTTTTCTTGCTTCCGCGCTTTTAAATTCCGCATTTATTTCTGTGGTGTGACTTGGTTTATGCAATTTTCTTTCTTTGTGAAAAGAGTTTTTAAAATACTAATTCACCCCCCCCCCCTCTTGGTTAGCTTGGGACAAAGTTCATAGGGCTTAACATCCCTTAACGAACTTTCAAAAGTAACCAAAAAATCGTGTACTAACAATACATCAACACCCTAGATGGGACAAGAAGTCATGTTACTAAAGAAAGTGTCCTATTCAAAATAATTTATCATAACATGTTTACTTATCGATAAAGCCCCTAAAAATAACATGTATACTTTACCAACATAGTGATACAACTTACATTACCCTTATTACTT